AATTGAGTTCTGTCAGTGTAGCAGTTTTTTCATCATAAACTATTTATTTTATTTACTATTTTCAATCTTCCATCAGTAGAAAAAGAAGCTATATTTGATGTTTGAGGCATTATTAGCAACAACCTTATTATGCTTAATATTCAATAGAATTTTCTACCATACTTATGTATGTTGTTATTTTATAGCAATTGCTTATATAATTATTATATTAAATACAATAATTAATATGCATATTAAATAAGGTTTGTTGACATACATAATTATTTTAAACAAGCAGCTACACTGCCAGCCTTCGTCTGGCTTTTAAATGTACCGGAAAAATGCCTGAAAAGGAAGACCAAACGTTAATTTCAAAAACTGCGCAAAAGTTAACTCTGCAGAACAACTTCATAAAAAAAAAAAAAAAAAACCTCACAAATTAAAAAAAATGTATTACAAATTACAATGAAATAAGCAATATCCCTTAATACAAATATTAACTATCCTAATAAATAAATTAACCAACTTCCTGTTAGCTTCTCTCAACAAACATCCAGTATCCAAGAGAAACATTAAATTTAAAAAGTGCACAGAACTATTGCCCTCATTTTTCCAAGTGGCAACAGTGCACATTTTCAACAGTCAGCAGTCTAGTATACAATTGAATGAAAAATTGTTGCCAACAATGGCTGCGTACATTTTGCTAAAAGATGATGAAACTATTAGCAAAATGATGCGATTTTATTAAATAAAAAAAAAAAAAAATCTGATTTGAATTTTGAAAAAAATCTCTTCGAGGTGCACTGGCTTTTGCCTAGATGCACCTATATACCAAATTTCATAGCCCTGGGTCTATTACCTTACGCACAACACGAATGAAAGACACACAGACTGTTTCTTTTATTATATGTAGAGATAAACTGCTGAAAAAATTGCATTAAATAATATAAAAACTACAAATTTAAATTCTTGTATAAATATTGAAGGAATTGCTGATATATTGTTTACTGTAGTCAATTTCATTTTCATAGATCTTTATAATATTTAGCTACAGTTGCACTTTCTTAAGCTCGAATTATGTCACTGACAATAATTTTCTTGTCGCCAAGGCCACTACAATAGACAACTATAGTATATATTTTTTTTCTTTAATTTATAAAAAAAAAAAAAAAAAAAAAAATTCACATCATTTTACACAGTAATCTGCCATTCTGGGTTCTCAATATTAAAAAAAATAATTGCTAATTTTAGCTTGCCTTTATATATACGTACATATATTTTGAGGGTTTAATTTCTGGGAACTGCTGTGTTGATATTTTTCTTTACTTACAACTGTATGCATATTAACAGGCATTGGAGATGAGGAACTGCTAAAAGGAAGAGAATAGTTCATTGAATGTAAAGAATTTTTGTAAGATGTCCAAATATTCATTAAATTATTCCTAAAATCTACCAGTGAAGCCTTCAGAGAGATTTTCTGTTCCAAAAGTTCCACATGTATTTTTATGCTCTGAGAATAAATAATATTTCACAGTTGTGTAACATCCAGGGCATTTGTTAAATTAAAACAAATATAATCAGACTTATGAATATTGCATATTTTTGCTTTCCATCTTAATTAAATTAAAAATCAGGCAATCAAGTTTAAAATTAAAAATCGGGCAGGAGCAGAAAAAGCTTGTATAGTTCTGCTCCTGCCTGATTTTATCAGTAGTTTAAAAGTTGTCTTAATAATCTTAACTCCTATCAGACTTCTCTTAACAGTTCTAAAGATTTTGAATTTATATGATCTCCGAATGATATATTTTTTTCTAAAAGAATATTCAAGAAAGATAATGAGTCTACGTTACAAATTTGGAATTCTGGCTATATCTGTATTCCATGTTGCAATCATTCTGGTCATTACCAGTTTTCACTTTAGAAAAGAAAGTATTAAGAGCAAGCCATCAAAAGTATTTTTGATTGAAATCTTGATAAATGAGTGGGAAATATGTTAGATTAATGCATAACTCTTACAAACTCAAACTCGAAGTGAAAATAAGCAAGCAGTGAAAAACATCACCAAAAACTTTAATTCATGTTAAAACTGAATAAAATACCTGTACTTAGTTTCCCTACATAAATATCAGCTTGTTAACCCGGGAAGACGCGCATGGGGTGTTTCGGCACCCCACGCTAAAAAAAATTCGCTGGCAATCTTCCCCTATAATCCGAAATGCTTAGGCAGTAGCTGCTTTCAAGGTCATTTTCTATACGTCTCGAGAGGAAACGGCAAATTTCGAGCGTTTATTGTTGTTTAAATAATAGTTAGGGGTGTGCCGACACCCCATGCGCGCTTTCCTGTTACTATTTTTCAGTGTGAGCTATGGCGTGTGCAAGTCGCGGTCTTTTCCTCATTTGATGTATGATCAAGAAATGAAGACTTGAAAGGGAGTTTCGTCGGATGAAGATATCTTTAGTGATCACGAGTCTGAATCAGAAGAAGAGTGCCACTCTTAAGTAGACATTCCCTTGTGATCAAACTGACTATTTTATAGGAAATGATAGCTCCAATAATGACTAGCTTAAATTATCTCTGATTTATTTGAAAATTTTGTCAAGAATTGACAGAAATTATATCATGTAGAAGAATACATGACTTTGAACGAAAAGCTAGAACATTTTCGAAGACGATGCTCCTTTCGGCAGTATATACCTAAAAAACCTGCAAGATATGGTATAAAGATATTTGCTATAATTGATTCTAGAACCATCTATGCTTTCAACATGGAGACTGACTCATGTCAGCAGCCAGATGGGCCGTGCAAGAAAGTCAGTAGTTCTAGTGAAATAGCAAAGCGCATCCTAGCTCCATTATACAAATCTGAAGAAATTTTATCACAGACAATTGGTATACCAGTTATGAATTGCCCAATTTCTTACAAAAAATGATTTGATGAACCACAAAAAAAAAAAAAAAAAAAAAAAAAAAAAAGGAGATGTTACATGTGCTCAAGAGAAAAAGACAGAAAAACAAAAACTATATGCATGAAGTGTAAAAAAACATATGTCAAGAGTATTGTGAAATAGATCTTTTATGTATATGTTACGTGAAACACCGAAATCTGGAAAATGTCGACTCTCACCGGTGAATGTCAACATTCACATAGTCGCTTGGTGTATGTCCGAAATATTTTCCAGATACTCTTTATTTCTGATTTACACCGGTAAATGTTGACATTCACCATGTACTAATGGTGAATGTTGAACATATAATAATATTTTATTTTCTTCTCCGTAATTTAGTCGCGAAAAAACACACTTCAGCCTTAAAATAAGAATATAAGAACTTAAAATACACAGTACATTCAAAATGAGAAAGGAAAATAATAGAAATTAAAAGTTTACTAATTTATGTGATTTAAATCTTATTTATTTCAACAACTTAAACTATTATGACACTTTGAATTGCACAAGAGGCCTTTATTTACAACTGCATTTATTTGTGGAACACTTCCTTTTTCAATGACAGCGTGTACATACATATACTCCTCTCTTTTTGACCTACACCAGAGCATACCTGTGATTGTCGACATACACCGGTGAGGGTCCGAATGTACAAGAATGTAATACAATATTCGATCTTTCACCGACGTATCTGGGGAATGTTGACATTCTCCAATTTCGGTCTTTCACAGTAACATATATAGTACAAAATATCTAATGCTTCTTGGGCCTAATTGATTTCAATATTAATTATCTAACTCATTGTTCATGTAATAATTTGGATTATAATTACATTCACAAATAAAAAACATTTCTCATAGAAATCAATGATTCCTAGACATCTGAAAAAAAATTATCTATTTGTTATTAATTTTAAAATTAGCATTATTTTAAGCTGTTTTATATATAAAATGTTGCAATTAATATAGAATGCATTCTTTTACTGAATTGTAATTATATGTTTAATTTTTATGTCATTTATTTGCTTGGGGTGTTAACACACCCCATGCACGTTCTCGTGTTACATAATACAGCACGCTTCCTCCCGGGTTAAGTATTTAGATCATGTGTATTTTGTATATTAAATATTTAGATGTGTATTCTGTATATTACGTATTTTGATGTTGTGTATTTCGTAATGGTAAAATATGCATTTTCATTATCAGGTTAATAACTTAGATTATTGATATCTGATATATTTTTCTATTTTGGCATCATTTTTTTATATTAGCAGGAGTTTATCATCCTGGTAGTTTGGTAAACAGCCTGTAGGTGTTGATATTCAACGCCCATAAGATCTTTAATTTATTGTTTAAAATTAAAACTGTGTATTAGTTAAGTATGTGGTATAAAAGCATTGTATGTACTTTTTACTAATTTATATCATTGTTTTATTAATATTATTTGTAATTGATGTAATTTATTGATAATATATAATAAATTTCATATGACTAATATGTAACCCATAATTTTTGCAAAAAATTTGCATCATTTTGCTTAGTAGATGATGTTATTAATGTCATATGTTATACATAAGTACAGAATAATCATGGCATTGTTATAAATTTTTGTGTACTTTCTGATTATCTACATCCCTGGTAAAAACAAATTGTTCATGAAGCAAAGCAGTTTGTTGCCTTACCTATGTGGCAGCCCACGATGTCACCGAAAAGTATTTATGTAGCAACATAGGTACATATCACATGCATGTTTTGACCAGTGCAGAATGCAGAAGTTGTACAATGCCGAATTTGTGCAGTTTTTTGAAATTTTTTAAGCAAAAACTAATTACTGTGTACAGAGGAAAAACAACAGGGGGGAAAGGATTTTTTTTAAATGTATACTTAATGGAATTCATCATATATTCATTAACAGTTGAAACATTTAATTCATAGATGCTTCACATTATAAGCACTTCTGACTGAAGGCACAAGCAATGAAGTGTTAAAAATTTTGAATAGAAAAGTAATAAACTTCTGGCTTTTTAACTTTGATAAAATAATTGGTATCCTTTTAATGTAATTTATAAATTTTAGGAGCGATATACGTGTCCATCCTTAAAAATACATCCGTATGATGGGAGTTTTGTTGCTCAAACAAATGGTGATTATATTGCTGCATTCTCCACCCGCAGGCCATATAAAATAAAAAATAAGAGGTATATGGGACATAAGGTAAGGTCCATTAAAATTTTATTTAATATTTTTTCTAATATTATATCTTCTGTATACTTCAACACCATATATATTTTACATATTGCTCTTTCATTTTAATTTTCTAAAATAACAAGAACATTTACATTTAAGCATTAAAAATATTATGTGTGTAAATTATATGTGTATGCATATATGATGATAGAGGTTTTCCTAGAGGACTGCATCATCTTTATAACTAGTGTTTATTAAAAGAACTGTATTTAATAAAATCATTATATGATATTTATGTTGTGTACATAGTAATATCATATTAGAAAAATAAGATATGCGTTAAATTGTTCTTCAATCCTATTAAAATTTTTTTCTATTCTATTCTTTTTTTTTTTTTTTTTTTTGTTTGTTTTGTTTCCCCATTGTAATGTTACTCGGTCTTCTTATCAAAGAAATAAATATCCATGGTTCTTTATATTTTTAAATGTTTATTATATGTTTTAAATATTGACTAGTTGCATAGCAACTGACAGTTAAGTAAACGGGATTGGATTACTTGTTGCACACATGAAAGCTAAAGAAGAAAAATGTTTTTGTGGAGGACATTACAGGAGAAACTGGCGCTGACTATGTCATTTAATGCACGTTATCACGGAGCATGAGGAAATCATAAAAACTTCCCAGAAGTGAGCACATTCACCAGAAATTGAAGGCTGAATAAGAAAGGCTTCTAAAAGTTCTTAATTGCATCTATGTTCGATTCCCCAGAGCAGAAAGATTTGAATAATTTGATATATCTTTTGTATGAAACAAATTATTCTGTAAAATATTTCTGAGGTGGTAGTTGAAACCTTTAATGCAGGCCGGATTTTAATATTCAAGTTTTGTTTTAAGACATAGAAAGAGGAAAAATCTCTTTTGTGTAATGTACAAGAGTGCTTGAAAATTATTTCTGCAGAGTAATTTCCTCAAATAGTGATTCTAAATGCATACATCCAGTTATAGAATGTCTAAAAAGTAGGCAGTTCTGTAGAAACAACTTTTGCTTAGTGATTGAGAAGACTGTAATAAGCAAAATATCCAAATAATAAAATACTCAGTCTATTTTAATTAATCTAAATAAAAAGCTATTTACTTTGCATAGTAGATTAAGGTATTGATTTAGAACACTGAGACTAAAGAATTCTTTAGTTCTCTTTGGTTAAAAAACCAAATTTGCCTAAAAATAAAGAACATATGTGAAATTAGTTATTTTCTAATATTGAAAGAAAAATAGATGAACATGTTTTCTCAGAATTCCAGCCGAAAATGTTTTCCTCCTTTCATAATGGGCTATCAAATGCAATTCTATTCTCGTAGGCTGTCATGTTTAAAGTAAAACTTCTTATTACTTCATTTAATTCAGATTATTAATTTCCCTTATATTCCTTTCCCTGAAAGACATTTAGGATTATAGAGACCCCATATCCCCCCACATTTTCCTTGCCTCAGAAAAATTCCAACATTGGAATTAACTCGTGACATAATAACAAGGCATTATCTGTAGACGTTTCTGTATAGATTTTTCAGAGTAAGAATGTAGTAATTTTTTTACACTTTTAAGCTCTATATTATTAGTTATAATAAGAACTGTGACCGTATTATTCATCATATAGTGAATTTGTAAATAGACATCTAGTGCAGCTGCACTGGCAGCAAAATTTTAGGATTTAAAGAGGTGCCAAACAGCAAATGGGAAACTTTTTGGAATGTAGAACAGGTATTGGGCAGTAAAATTTAGGGTGTGTGAAAATTTTTAGAATTTAGTGAGGCACTAGACAATAGAATCATCACGTAATGTCTAAGCGCCTGTCTGACTATTTTACCACTTAATGTCTAAATGCCATTGGTATAAAAAATGCATGTTCATAAAGATTTGAATTATCTTGTTTTTTTCAGTATATCAAATTTTATGTGTGAAAAAGTAGAAACATTCGGTAAAATGTTATGTGTGAAAGCATTTTAAATGCATAACATTAGCTAAAACTAGAGTTCAGAGCTAAGCTGTACCATGTATGAAAAACTTCTAAAGCTATTAAAATACTGCAGAAACATGAATTATTCGATTTAAAAAAAATATCTTAGTTTTTTTCTCTTTTTAGGAAAATCAATATTTATCTAAATAGTTGACTGTTCGAACCTATTAGTTTTCTTTAATTTTGGAAGGGATATTGGTATATTTTGCTTCTAAGACAGGCATGCTGAAAATATTATTACAGCCAATATTCATTATAATGACTATTGTATAAAATTCATAGTCGATAACCATTCCGGTACAAAACACTCCCGATGACATATTAAGACAATTTTTGCTATGATAGCCGCACATTATAACACTCTTTTACTGTTGGATGCGAGAGGTCATTATGGCGAGTGTCATTGGCATTAAAATTATAAAAAACTATTTTCCTCAATTGTTAATTGTTTTATCATATTGAATAATATTTTGTTATCATTAAAAAATTACTTTTGCTATTTAACATGAAGAGCTGAATGAATTGACCTTCTTGATTTCCTCATATAAATATGAACCTGTTGTGCAGATAGTCTTTGAAGTTTATATATGTGGCTTATAGAAATTAACTTATGAGAGATTTTATTGTTCTTGAAGTGCAAAAATACAAGGTAACCAAAAACATTCTTGCCGTTTTGGACAGTCAAAGAAAAGGTCATAAAACAAATGATAATCACTGCTAATCCTCAAAGTTATCACCATCGTCATCCAGTGCCTTTTGCCAAAAGTGGCTTGCTATGTGATGCCGTCGCGGTAAAATTCAGAAGTTTTGGATGCAAAGAAGTCCGTGAGGGCCTTTTCGAGGTCTGGCCTGCTGTTGACGGATTTCCCACGAAGATGGTTGTCTGGGGAACGAAAAAGGTGGTAGTATGTTGGTGTGAAGACTGAGGTGTATGGTGGATGGGTTAGTGTCTTCCAGCCCAGTTGCTGGATTGTGTCCCTGGCCTCCCGAGCCGCATGCGGCCTCGCATTGTCATGGAGGAGGAGTACACCCTTATGATTGACCAATGCTGGCTCTTTATGCATCGTGCCTGATGCACACATTCCAGCTGCTGCGAATATAGGCAGGGACATAGCTAGAGTTTCCAGCGCCTGGGGACACCTGAAGAATTTGCACCTCTTTCTGTGTGCCAAGAATGGAAAATATTTCATTAAAAAATTTCATAGCATCAATTGGTGCCATTTATTTGGATGCTGCGCCTGGGGACAGATGTCCACCACTGAGTATAGGGCTGCTGTGATGGTTTGGCAGGAGCTCATAGTGCACCACTTGGCAACTAGTCCACCAGATACAGAGCATGATCTTGCGTGGGTTGCGAGAAGGTCTCGCAGTGTGAGGCACAGGGTCCCCTGGTGACAGTGGAATGCCTGTGCGTAGAAGCGAACTGCACATCAGAAGTGGCAAGAACCTTTTTGGTTACCTTGTATATACATTTTCAAAATTCTTGCTGTGTAGTTGAAATGGCCCATATCCATGATAGTAGTACTAAATAATTTATCATCCATTAATTACCAACAGCAGCAACAATCTTCTTTGGCTTGCCAATCATAAATCAAATGCAGATCAAAATGCAGTCATTAATCTAACATTGGAGTCTCCAATCTATGGCCAGCGGAGATCAGGCCCTTGAATAAGAACAATCTGGCCGGCCAGCCAAAGTGTTTTTAATAATTTTATAAATTTTAAAATGAGCAAAGTAACTTATATATTAACTATATTATATAACAACTAACCTATGAATATATATTGCCTCTTATGCATGTTTTTTATAAAGCATGTTATAAATATTATATAACTTTCTTAATTAACAATGAGTGGAATAGAGTAACACTCTATTAAAAATTTTGTCATTTTTACAAGAATAAAGGTTTCGTGTGTTATCTTTACCTACTTTCATAGTAATATTGTAGATCTGTTCATAGAAATTTTCAAGAGTGATTTTGGATTTTGTTCTGTATGTGTCGTAATGAATTTTAATTTCTAATGTGTCTCCCCCCCCCATACAGTGTTGCTGTTGCTTGCTTTGAAATCATTGAGTTTGTTAATTAAAAATTCTTTAAAAGTGTTACAAAATATGAATCAATAATTAAACAAATTCTAAAACCCAAATTGGGGATTCCAGATGCCCTAGGTACTGTTGTTTTATCACAATGCTAGAAACATACATACATTTATGCATATTCTTCATTTTGTAATTTCTTTAAATATAACACAGGGCAATAATATTTCGTGGCAACAATGTGGAAAGTAAAATGGACATTCAAGTTTTCAATGCAAAATGCCAAAACTAATTTAATAGCCCTTCTGGGCTAAAAAAAAAAAAAATCTGAATATCTGAATGCCTTCAGATTTTATATTACGCCCAAAAGTGCTGTTTTTTTAAACATTTGGTGTGTTACCTTAATTTATTAAATATCATGTTCTTTGCACTTAAAACATATAAAATTCAATTCAACAGTATCACAAAATATTCAAAACAGAATACCTTTATAATTTTTGATACACAGTCTTGCACGCTGGAAATTAAAATGTTTTTTCGTACAGTGTTGCCATCGCTTGCTTTGAAATCGTTGAATTTGTTAATCAAAAATTCATTAAAGGTTTGAAAAATTTGAAATAGATAATAAAAGAAATTCAAAATTCAGATTTCCAAGTGACCATGTTCGATTGGTAGACTACGTTTTTCAAAATTTGATGGCTTAAGGTACCGTTGTTTTTTTCACAATGCGAGAAACATTCATGCAGATTCTTCATTATTTAGTTTCTTTAAGTATAGTGCATGGTGATAATATTTGGTGGCAACAGTTTAAAAAGTGAATCGATGCAAAATGCCGTTTTGAAATTAATAGCCTTTCTGGGCTAACGCCCTTTGGGCTAAAAAATATCTTGCTATTTGCACAACCTATTTTCTATTTGAATTAAATATGCAGAGATAAAAATATTAGATTAAAAATTGGTTACCATTTTTATTAT